TAATGCGCACTATCATTAATCGAGAGGTTGTTCTCTCCTGCCTTTAACTTAATGGGTACTTGCGAGCATGAGAATTGCGTAGAGTTTTTCTTCATACGCTGTTCCCGTTGTGAGAGATGTCTGTGTTTTGCTTACCTTTACCTTTTTTTTCTTTTTTTTTTACCTTCTGTATATATTTTTTGCCGAGAAAGCCAAATCAACAAGCAAGCGGTTTTGCCAGTATAATTTCCTTAGGTCCATTTGCTAAGGGTATTATAGTAAGTGACTGCAGACGAATTAAAGTGGTTTTCATACTCACATTGAAAGTGCATAATGGCTCGCTCTGCACTATTCGAACCATCGACCTTTTGCCTTCAATGCCAACAACTAACCATTGCACCACTGCACCACCGACGCACGTAACACCGCTCTCAAATCAAAGAGCGCCCCCAAAATAGGATTTTCAGGCTTTCATAAGTCTCTTCAGAAGGGCGCTTAGCAGAAACGGAAAACAGATTTGAAATCAGCGTTCGAAACTCCTTCAGACCATATGCATCTCATATCAAAAGGCCACGGCCACTTATAGTACCTCCCTTGTTAGCAACAACATTTGAAGCCATTTCTTTGTTTTAAACAATGCCTTAATATGCTGTATAATTGATTCACTCACTTTGCATTTGTGTGTTCCAAATCAATTGTTCAAACTTATTTGTATATCGTACAAACCCAAAATTACCTATGTATTTCGATACCGCTTGATAGTTATCTATGTTCTGCTTACAACACTTTGCACTTTTTATATTCTGCATACTTTTTGGCAGCTCCAAAACAACAATAGTGGTAGTGTTTTGTGATAACTAGTGAAATTCATGGTTTTGAGGGGTTTAGAGTGGAAATGATGCCCACAACCTGTACCAAAAACAATGAGAAGAACAGCATTGCTAGAGTTTGACTTACTTATTGTAATAGGAACCAAATTTAAAGAGAAATGTTGTCTGGGTTGTTCATCAGTAAATGAACGAGTTGTTGTTCATTGAAGGACGTCTATCAACGGACGGAACCTCAAGTTTCATCATTCGCACACTGGTCAACTTGAGATGCTCAACAGGAATACTATATTTATCTGTGTCAGAGTGAAAAATCATGCACGTTACGAATGAGGCTTTTTATGCCTAATTTGAGAGCTGCAATATAACATCCTTAGTCAGAACTTAAGCAGAATTTGGGGCAACTTTATGTTTTAAATATGATAGTTCTTACACATGTGGCAGAAATGGCAAAAATTGGCAGAAATGCTTCCGTAGCTCTCACATTAAAAAAAGAATACGTTGCTTAAAAAAAACAATGGTTTTAATAAGTTGACTTAGTCAGTCTAACAAATCAAGAAATTCGTTTTCAGGACACATCTAAGTTCTTGATGCCAAATAAACTTCAATTCATAAACGAGCAAATTTGTTGTCATAGTCTCTAGTAGCTATGAGACCAGCTCACAAGCAAAGTATCTGGAAGGCTTGAGACCTAGCGTGCAGGCAGCTCTGTTGACGATGGTTTGTGCCCTTTTTCTTATTTTCATTCAGGCAAGCTTTTCCTAACAGCACAAAATCTGCATACTAAAAATGTCCTTTAGATAAAAGTTTTATTGTGTATTTCTGAAAAGTGAATGCGGTGACTGGTTAAACGTACTTATACATCTATGGAGACAAAAAAGAGTTCCAAATCGAAGCAATCCATAATGTTTTGATTGATTTAGTTGAATTAATTGATTGTTCTACTAATACGAATTTGTGATATCAGGTATTGGCACTTGGAAACACAAATTATGCTGATGGTGATTTTCTTAATGTTGAAGTTTGCAGCTGTGAAAACCAAAATGTGTTTCAAACTTTCCTTGCAGCTTAAATCCTCGCTCCCATTAGCACAAATAGATTGACTGTAGCAATATGAGACTTGTGCGTCACCTGCTGTACCAAATTTTCTAACAAACATAAAAATGTTAAAGTTTCAACAGCTGTCCAACAGCCAGCGATGTAAATGAGTCAGTTCACAGATAAGCAAATTTCGATGGCTCGATCAAATAATCTTCTTATGTTAGAAAGTAGGTCTCTTTTCGATGGAAGCATTTATACTTCAGTCAAAACTGAAGTATAAAGTACTGTCCAACTGTACTGTCAACTTGGTTGGACAACGTAGAGAAACATGCCGGTACATAGGAAAATTTAGCAACATCTGTAACAAAAAATTTGAAATAGAGCTGTTTTCGAGCAAGATAAAGGACTTTTCTGTACATGGTGCGAAGAAAACAAACGGATTTATCTATCTTAAGCTTCGGATTGGCCAAAGAAAACGAGAAGATTAATGATGCAATGGTTTGGTGTCACCTTTAAGTAGCTTAACTCTTAAGTTTTCTTTAGATTCAAAGCATACAAAACCTGTTATAATCCAAACTTTTTTCTAGTACGCACAAAAGCCATTGCTACACAAATCATAAAAGTCATACTGTATATATACCAGCTGCAGCTAGATCCGACAATCACCTTATAAGTTCTCTTTTCCTTATGTTCCCTTGGCTCCAGCAGAGACTAGCTTTTGCAATAGCAGTTTTAGAACTTTCACTGATTTGTTCAGCTTGCACAAGATTGGTATATCTCTTTATTCGACCGACGTTTCGGCTATATTGCCTTTTTCGGGGTCTGAAAAAGTCATGACCATGTAAACTGTCCAGCTAGCAACTTCGTCACGATCAAGCCAATTGTCCAACCTGTTAGCGAATCAAAAGAGTACAAATGACAAGATCGAGTCATTGCCCTGTCAACAATGCAATGTTGATACACGATATTCATGCACCGCAGACAGCGGAAGACGCAAATTTAAGTGTGGAGATCATAATTTTAGCTTATGAGCCCGAAATCCTAACGCGCAGAACTTTAGAAGCGTTTTGGATCGCGACGTCCGAAAATGAATAGAAAAGATGAGTGCTTGGCCATTACACAAGAATTGGCTCCTTACCAGAGCCTCTGTGGCTTCCCCAGTAACAACAGGCCGAGACCAAGTTGCTAGATCTGAAAGGATGGTGGTCAGTCGTTGGTATAATGTATCAGCATTGAATTGTTGACAGGGCAATGACTCGATCTTGTCATTTGTACTCTTTTGATTCGCTAACAGGTTGGATAATTTGCTTGATCGTGACGAAGTTGCTAGCTGGACAGTTTACATGGTCGACTTTTTAGACCCCGAAGAAGGCGATATAGCCGAAACGTTGGTCGAATAAAGAGATATACCAATCTTGTGCAAGCTGAACAAATCAGTGAAAGATATATACACTCGTACGATGCCGAGATTAATTGATAGTCGATCGTGGATAATTTTAGAACTATTTTTACACTTTTAGTTATGCAATAAGGCTACAATTGTTCTTGATCCTAAGCATGAAGATAATGAAGTATAAACAATTATTCTGACGCTTTTCCTTACATTTCCTTACAAGATGCAAATCTCGACTAATGCTCTATACGAAATAAAACTTTGGACGAATGAAAAAATCTTTTTGAAAAATTCAAAGTTTGCGCCTTTTTATTGCGATGCGAAGAAGCTCACCTGAATATGAGTCTGTTTAGAAGAGCCAACGCTTTTTTTTTCTTTTTGATTTCTAACACTTTTCTGGGCTTATAAAGAGCAAAGAAACTCTTTCAGATACACTTTGGATTATAATGGGTATCAAAAACCCGTCTCATTTGCATAAAAATGTCTTTCTAGCGATGAAAATTCCATTGCCTATATTCACAAAACAAAAAAAATCGTTTCAATTTAGAGTTACTGAATGGGGAGTTTGTCGACTTCAAACATGCAACTGCACTCAAATTCTGTTGTATGCGCAAGTCAAACTTACATCTGAACGCAACTTTTCTCGCAAAAGATGTGCGAGATATCAGAAAACGTCTTTTGCACATTGAAACATTTGGCTCACTTTGCCAAGAATTGGAAATTCAAATTACTGAATCAAAAATGGGGCATATATGCAAACTGGTCAGTATTTCAAACTTTTTTTAAGAAACTTTTTCCACATTAGCGTTCCAAAATCGTTAAAATTATAAAAGCAGCAGTAATAGTTGCTCAGCAACTACATATGATTCTTCAGCTCTAATCATGCCTGCTAAGTCTTGCAGAAACAGGCCTATTTTTGGTCAATCGTATATATGAGAGGCGAATTTTAAGGGGTACTTTTCGAAGATAGGCTGAACATTGTCCCTGCAGGAAACTTGCACCTCCAAACAGCTCAAAGTTATAGAAGTTTGAAAGAAATTTCTCAAGAGTAGACTTTCATTATGTAAATAAGGCCAGTACTCCGCCTACAAGTGCCATCAATTATGGTACTTGTTTGTACCTCCCGAATACGAATTTATTTTTGAAGCGGTAAGGGAACATTTTCAAAAACTCCACTTTACCTCTAGCTCTCCTCAAACAGAGCGATTCTTGTATAAGTTGTAAGGTGATGGTTAATGATGATCAAAATAAATTTCTCGAAACCTTAAAGGGTTTCCATCTTGCGAATAAAAGTTTTTTTGGCTCGCTCAGATTACGATAAATATTTCAACTTGAAATATTTGTCTTAATCTAGGGGAGCACAAGAAAATTTTCATCGCAAAATAAAATGTGGAAAAGAAAAAGAAGAAGCTGCGTATAAAAAGCTTTTGTTTCCATCAACAGGCATTTTTGTACTCTGATGTCGAAGAGTGGACAGTCTGCATGTCAAAAGAGAAAGACAACAGTTCAGTCATTACGAATTCTACCGCTTCAGTGGAATATTGGCTGAATCGTGAGCATCAAACTACGTTAACACATTCGTTCAAACGCAGCGCAGCTTTCATTAAACTTTTATAATTTTCTAATCGCAAGTCCGCTTCAATCCATCTTCTTCAATATATCAATGTCTCTTAAAGGAGACTCATTCAGTTATAAACACTGTGCTGTCACTCTTCCCTCGCGTACCAGTATAAACCCAAAAAGTAATCAGAATTTTTTAGAGCGCACTCATATTGCTGTAAACAACTATGAATTTCCTGTTTTTCTTATTCCTCCTGGGAGCTTGCCTAGGGCTAACGAATGCTATAACGTAAGCTGAAATTACGTTGTTCTATGCGCAATAAAAACGTTGTGCTTTCAGTTTAGAAAATTGTTGCAAGAGATGCCACCCAAGAAGCGGATGGTTGGGCGGTAGGCGGAGGAGTTGCCCACAAGCGTGCCCAGAGGTCCACAAAAACCCAGATGTATGCATTGGAATAGTAAAACTGCATGAATGAAACAATAAGCAGTCTTTTCCTCATTCCATGTTTTTTGTGAAATAAAGCATTGTGCAGCATGTTTGCAAGGAAAAGTACCTAAGTACATATTACTCTAATCTTAATCTAAGTAGTGCCTGGTTTCCGAACGTCTTATAAAAAAATTTATTAAGTAGGAGGTCACTGCAGTCATGCAATTACATAATAGTGGGTAATGAGTGTACCCTTTGATTCAATTAACTTGGCGGCTGAAAGGCGTGGATTCGTGATCTAATAAAGGCTAGGCAATGATCAGAGAGCACGAGCGAGAGAGACTGCGTCGCGGGCGCGAGCGGCTTCAATTACGTCACAAAGTCCCTCCTTCCAGCCGCCAAGATAGTTGAATCAAAGTTAAGTGGATGGATGTATCCTGTGTAACCTGCTTAATCAACATGAGTACAACTTTTATGAAGGGAAAAGTGCATGAATGGTTGGGATACTACAGCAATTTATAGATAGTCAAAAGGCGTGCAAACCCGAGCCAAATGCAGTTAATTTATGAATCGTGGAGGGGATATAGAACAGGGCTCGGCACGAGATGGCTACTTGAAAGTGCAAAAAACGAAGTCCCCCTTGACTTTTGCGAATTTTTACGAAGTCCCCTTTGACCCTAGATCATAATCAAAAATCTTCAAAAAACGAAACGTCGACTAAAAAAATCGCAAATTTTTAGTCTTTCCGACCACAAAAACGAAACTTCCTTTGCTTTTTGTCCCAAAAACGATTTCCAGCTTGCTTGTAAGCCACCTGTTCCGAGCCGTGGTCTAGGAACTAAACTGCTCCATCTAAGAGAGGGGATGAAACGAGTACAGTTAGGAAGTTTTTTTTACTGTACGTCAAGCAAACTTATACTTGTATCATGTGAGATCACAATGAAACAATGATTCGTAATAGTACATTTCCATCTCCTTCAAAAAAAAAGAATTTTTGCAGTCTATTATAGTTCTATGGAAGAAGGTGCTATAATATTGTCATTCGTTATAAATTCACGCAAATTATGGGATCGACCGATCGACCTCTCTGACTTATAACCAAAATTGTTGTTTCCCTTGATTATGCCACATCTGACTCTGGCTTGACAATGACATTGCAAAGCTTCGCAGTAAAATTGAGAGGGCAACTATTTCTACAATTTGTTCACAGGAAGATTTCCTTACAATTGGGATAGTAACAATCAAATCGGAATAGAAGGACGAGCGGCTGATTGAACGGTTCGTTTAGCTAGGCCGGTATATAAGCGACACTCATATAATTCATTTTTGAGGTATTTCTGAAACTTTGCCTAGTACCAGTGGCGTACCAAGCATTTCAAGTCTTGGGAAGCACTTCCATGAAATGCTTCCAAGACTTTTGCAGGCCCACCAAGCCCCTGAAAAATTTTTTACAGTGCCGATTTGAAGTTTTTTGAAGACTTCAAAAGATTATTTCGATTATCTACAAGTATAAACACTTACTTGCAGATTTTTGTAACTTAGGTAGGTGACGTCAAACAATCCTCGTCGTGTGGGCTCCCGATCCTCCCCCCTTTCAACCTGCCTTACCGTACTCTTGCAGAGTGAACCGGTCAGAATCAGAAAGAAGAAAAGCAAACAAAAACAAAAGGTAAATTTGTCATACACTCCGCGACCACTCACAGTTTGAACTGTACTTTTTACCAAGTCATTGGCTTCTGGATAATAGTTGATTGATATAGATTTGCTTAAATAAATAGAAATCTACACGAAATGAGCTACTACAAATCGTGATAAGAAGAATAGATTCACCTTACTATGTAGCCTATAGCGGTGTTGAAATTATCTCAAATTTAGCCTACCTCATAAAAAACTTCCAAACTTGGCGAGTTTTTTGTGAAAAAAAACATCAATAACTAGCATAGGGAGTAACAGGTAAAACGTCAGACGTATTCTCAAATCCTCATGCACGAGACAATAATTTGACAGCAATGAAATGATAGGCAACTTACAATCTACAATCAACGGCATTATTGGAACATTTTTTGCATTTTTTTGCAATTTTTCAATTTTGCAGTATACCAACCATATGGAAAGATTTCTTATATCGACGTTAATTTCGGATATTTTGTGCTCGGAAATTACATGGACAGATTCCTTCGTAACGTTTAGTTCAGTACTTTTTAGATGTTACCCGCTCCAGAAGTGAATGAGGAATTAAAGAAGAAATGCCTTTGTAATCAAACGACATATCAGCAGTTTTCGAAATGCTGATCCAGCAATTTTTTAGAAATCAGCGCTTACTCGATAGCGTCATAACTGCGTTTTTCGAAACAATGGGGCTATTTTAAGCTCTTTCCTCACGGTAACTTCTTACATCTACAGCACACAGCATAACCATTCACACTTCATAGCTACCGTCTGCGCACCAGGGAGGTTCCCATGTGAACCAGCGTGCGTACGTGGTGCGACGCTGCCTTTCGCTCTTTTTGACACGTTTCTCCTGACATTTTAACGGAACTGCCCGAGGTTAACACGTTCAAAAGTGCGAAAGGCAGCGGGATGACGTGTACCTATGGGAACCTCTCTGGGACGCAGACGATACGTCCCAAAAAAAAAGAATTTAGACTACGACGATTGCAAGTCTGCCTAGCAGAACCAATAGATCGGAGGCAGCAGTTGACAAGATTTCTTCGAAGTTAACACACTGAGAACAGATTTTTTGTGCATTTATGAGTTAAAGAGTACAGGCTAATTCTACCGTACAGTAGTGGAATCTTTTGCATTATGCTGTCAAATGGCAACTGTTGTCGTGCAATCAAACATCCACATATGACTTACACCAAAATATCTTCCCTGTTAATCGTCAATGAAAGCTCAAAAGGTAATCAGTGCTTACTCAGAAATATGAAATAAACTTCAATTCAACTGGCTTGGCGGCTGGAAGGCGGGGCTTTGTGACCCAATTGAGGCCGCTCGCGACCGCAACTTAGTCTGCGTCTCTCCCTCGCGCATGCCCTCTGATCATTTTCTAGCCTTCATTAGGCACGAAGCACCGCTAAGCCAGTTGAATCAAAGGGTACTGTATTGAGCCACGCATGCCAGGCTCTCTTCTATATTTCTTCGCAACAACCATTGGTTCAGTAAACCTTCTACTTACATAAGGATGACCTATGAAGCCCGCAAATGCAAACATAGCGTATAGGAGTGACTAGGAGGATCACTAAATGTTCTTGTTACAAAATCTAGAAGCTCTTTTTCGGAAAGATATGTGGGAATGTGAACTTGTAGAAATGCAAGATCTATTTCCCTTATTCTATGTTTTCGCCTATGTTATTTGCATACATTGCACTATGCAAATTCTATGCGTTGTTTCTGCACTTCATAAAAAACCCGGTTATATTCATAGCTACACTTTTTTTCGGTATGCCTTTGAAGTAAAAAGAAAAAAATGCTTTCGACCGCAAAAAGAGCAAAGGCGCTGGAAATTCGAAAACATTAGTGTGTATAGCCAGCGATACGGAAGCTTTACTAGGAACGTGATAGGCGACAAAGCAACAAAAAAGGCGTCAACTGCAGGTCTCAATGACAGCACAAAAGGAGGTTCTGTTTGATCTGTAAAGGACAATACATTGAACCTACAGCGCGTGCACAAGAGAAGCGGAAAAGCACAGACAAGATTAAGGAGGAGAACAATGCGAGAGGTAGTCAAGTAAATTGGTTGAATATCTTTGAAGAGAGCAGTGAAATATCTGGATATACAGCTTTATACATGAAAGCTCGCTTTAAAATCTATACATCACTTTCACGACAAGGCCTCCGATTACTGCCGTTTCGAACCAGAGGCTTTTTCCTTTTGTTGAACTTACGACCCACCCGTGAGTCGTTTTGTCTGAAATGGTAGTCTTATTGGAAAATTTCAGAACATGTACCCAAGAATTTTCCAGAGGGGTCATCGAAGGCGCTGATTATCAAAAAACAATTTATTTTAGTTCTGGAGTTATACGGTAAGGTTACGGTAGCCATCCTGTACGAAACTAACTCCATGCATTTTCGTGAAAAATTGTGTTTAGGGGTTATTTCACATGCTGATCAAGCTTATAGTGACCACTCTGTTCACTACCGTCCCAAAGTGGGGCTACCGTAGTAGTATGGTGGAATTTTTGTAAAAATCAATAAAATGTAAGAAGGTGGTTTTTTGGTGGACTAACATCATTCTCTTGCTCTCCCCGTATTAATTGTGCATGCAAAGTTGATTTCCAGAAACAGCATCTCCTGTGAAGAATTTGAGCATAAGTCTGTGCCTTATATCTATCTACGGTATACCTAAGGTAACATTACATTACAGTATCCCGAGCCCGAACCAATGCTGGAGCTTCTCTAGGCGTCCCCAATCATGTGCCAGAACCCCCTAGAATTCCATCGTAGATTGGCAAAGCCAGAGCTTCACGAATCATACGACGCACCGGTGGGTCGCATTGTTCTGAATGTGATATACTTTGCAAAACCTCTGATGTTCCACGCCTATTTTGGAACATCTCTAGTCTTCCAAAAAAGACTAAGAATGACTCTGAAACTCTAGTCCATTTATAGAAAGTTCTGCGGCTGTCCAACTTTTGCTCTTCATTTTGAATTCAAAGAAGCAAAGGGGAAGTGCATCAAATTGACAAGCATCGGCAGCCAGGTATTTAGTGCAAAAGAGTGGCCATCTTTTTAAAATGAAAAGCTCACAAGATTTTTACTTTCTCTACTAGAAATTTCGAAATGATCGGTCACCATGGAAACCAAGCAAAAGAGCCTTTACCAAATTAAAGAATATCATTCCGTTTTGTTGATGCTTCCCATTTCTCTTCAAAAAACTTCTGCTTAAAGGCAGTGTCCGGACAAAAACTCGATTTCTAGAAAATCCACTTAGCGGAGGTTATCCGCTACGCTGAATCCTAAAATCCACATTAGAAGGCGCGAAAACGGCGAGAACATACGTTTTTGAAAGCCGCACAATTTGAAGTTTGACGGTCCCCACCAATTTTAACTGTGGCGGCATGCATACTCTGCCGCATAGCAGGAATTCGGACAGCTCGGAGGACTCCGCCCCAAGGCGTAAGTTTTCCCACTTTCCGATCGTTTTTCTTGCTTAAGGTAGAGCGTTATGACGTCGCGCTTGCGCGATGATGTGTCTGAGGGGGCCACTCTCGCATGACACTGAAATCCCAAAACCATCTTGCCCGGACACTGCCTTTAAGGTCACCACAAACAAATCAAGCCGATTTAGCTACAGCCAGCACTCTAACACCCTCTGTATTCATTATCAAATCTGTCTTTAACTTACAGGGTAATATACGACATGAAGCGCACCACATTTCCGCTTGAGCTGAGTCACAAACGATAATCGTCAAAGAATACTCCTAAATGCTGCTCCGTTATAAACTTCTAGAAGCACCATAAGGCTGTCGTCGGCAAAGCTTCCTTCATCAGTTTTAAAGATTTTCTTGTGCTGATTCTTTTGACCATCTTTCAAGTTTTCCATCTAGCTGAGCCTACTGCCTAGTATCCACCTTAAAAATTGCAAAACTATCGTTATCTCTTCATCAAATCTTATGTTCTGTAGGCAATTCATGAGCCCCTCCTCTCTTCGTGACTATTAATGAAAACCTAGCAGCTTAAGGCCATCATTCACATGCAAATTTCGTAAACGTTGAAAAAAGCTAGTACGACATTTTGTGGTCAATTGTGTTTACTTATACCTGGAAACAGCCTTTTCGCTCCTTCAGCATGGAAATTGACGACTCTTTCGAGTCTTAGCAAAAATTGGCAGGAAGGCGCCTCGGCGGCAGTTCCCATCAATGTGGGTGCCGCATTGTTGGTGCTCCGGCCGGATTGCATTGGAATCAACCCTGCTGGCACGAACGGCCTACTAGGGCGTCGCTTCCTGGTTACGCGGTATACAACCGGTGCCGCAGAGCACTGAGTCTGAGTGCACTGAGTTTCAAGCTCCGTATAATTTCTGCTTTATCACCGACATTACCCTCGTGTGAAGGGGCTTAGGAGAGTCAAGGTTATAAAGGTTAGCAGGCGCCGGACACAACCGGTTAGCGTGGCAGTCTCATGATTGTCAAATTACTTCTGAGCAATCATGCAGCTGCTAAGCGAAAGTCTCGCGTGTGAAGTATTTTCTATTGGATGCTAATTGCTATCGTAATTCGTTATAATTATATAACAGTCACCATTTCAGCAATTATTACAGTCGCTTCATTTCATATGATCATGTGTGTCATTGCACACACAGTTCACCTTTGGCGTCCCCATCCTGGATTCGTGGGAGAAACAAGCCTTCAGGTAGGTGTTTCCAAGGTGCTTTTAGCATTTTCTTTCCTTTTTAGTTACTAGTCACCTCAAACTGATGTAATCGATAACAATCGGTAAATTCTTGCGTTTCTGCGATTGCAAATCCAGGATGGGGACGCCAAAGGTGAACTGTGTGTGCAATGACACACATGATCATATGAAATGAAGCGACTGTACATATTTGTACTTTTTTAAGCGAAACTTGAACATACCTAGTGAAGTTCAACTAATTTGCATCCAAATTGTTCTTATTGCACGGTTTTTCAGAACAACCAAAGCTTATGACGTCATCAGCCATCACTTTAATCAGCAGTTATTCAGATCTCACAAGGATGAAGGCAGTTCATTTGGCTAGCTATGAAAGTTGCTCCATCCTTGATAATGTTTTGAAGACATCAAACCTCCATTCGTCACTCTTTTTTACTACAACGGCTTGTTCTCTCTTCAAATATCATTTTCTAACAATTCTGAGTGCTTGTGATAGGTCTCAAAATCTACATTTTTTACATGACTTATAATAAGCGGCTTAATCTGAAGTTGTGTGGAGTTTGTCCGTTACGAAATTACAGTGAGGATCATGACTTATAATAAGCGGCTTAATCTGAAGTTGTGTGGAGTTTGTCCGTTACGAAATTACAGTGAGGATCATGACTTATAATAAGCGGTTTAATCTGAAGTTGTGTGGAGTTTGTCCGTTACGAAATTACAGTGAGGAATGATTTATGATACTAAACATCATGTGAGGTTAAGATAGCGAGTATGGTTCATTTTTAACTACGGCTCACTTTGCAGTAAACCGAACAATGATTTGAGAGATGACTTATAATAAGCGGCTTAATCTGAAGTTGTGTGGAGTTTGTCCGTTACGAAATTACAGTGAGGAATGATTTATGATACTAAACATCATGTGAGGTTAAGATAGCGAGTATGGTGCATTTTTAACTACGGCTCACTTTGCAATAAACCGAACAATGATTTGAGAGACAAGCTCTCAGAAAGTGAGTTTACCACGGTTCACGATGCCAGTGCGAACCTCTGCGAAGCAGAGGTGAAGCACTGGTTCATTGATATGGACATTGATGCAGGTTTATACTACTTACCAGGAGGACTTGAAACGCTTCAGTATGTTGTGCTGCCAACCTGAGCAGTGCAATATGGTAGGATTTGCTAACATGTAGGGTGAGCTCAATAACGCTGATATGATCCTTTTATTTCTATTAAGTAAATGACTAGCTTCCAATGTTTGTACTTTGGAGACTGATTTGACCCGTGACCTAGCACAAGTTTGCTTTTTGAGAAGTAGTTTAGCACGGAAGTAAATTCAAAAATATTGATGAGAAACAGAAAGTGTGGAGAACGAAAAAACGATTCAAGACAAATACTAATCAAATAATAATAGAAGCATTTTGACCAATTTTTCCACGTACGAAATACAGAGCGATTTAGGAAGAAGTCGTGTGTCAAGAGGGTGTAGGAAAAATTTTGGAAAATCATACAAGGATAGGGATGTCATTGCGTTGAGCGAGAGGCTGACGCCAAAGAACAGCACTTTTGAAAATTTGTAAGTCTTCATAAATTTTCCAAGCTCAATTTTAATTTTCCGTGCGTTGTAGCAAGTCTATCATTTTTTCACCAAGGTGTAAGCTGTTACAAATAGGTAGCTTATCAAATTTTACTATTCGTACTTTGTTAGGGATCACGTATAAGTTTTCCTTGCTATCTATTCAAAACTATGCAACGCTCAAAGAAAGATAGCAGTGAAAGAAAGATAGCAGTGCTACTCATTTGTATGATACACCAGCTGCATAACCATTTCAAGTGCAGGCTAATGGTTAGAATTCTTAAGTGTATGATTATTGAGGAGAAGTCAAAATAACGAAAATTTCAAGAGTAGCACTGCTTGGTACTTCCTAGTAACTGTGTGAAGCAGTATGACTAAAAACATTCACCTTCTTTAATCGAGAAAAAGGAAATAATGACACATCTCTGCATTTTCTAAGTGTAATCAGAAAGGGAGCAGACTGTTCAAGAAAGCTATAGTAAGGGTCACTTGGCGTCTGCGCTCTCCACGCGGCAGAGGGACATTGGCACCCACTGCCTTGAACAGTACGAGTTCCGCCAGATGGCCCACACTCACCGCAGCGAATGCTTTGGTTTTCCCGTGTCACTTCCAGGGAATGGTTAGGGGTGGTGCCGGAGCCTGGTCGTTAGATCTTTCTCCGAAAAGCACTTTACCACATCGCGGCTTCTAGCCGGATCTGGGCCCCAAACACATACAACCATTAGCGTTGTTATCAACAACGCGGCCAAAGGCCGTTCCTCCCTGCCAATTTTTACAAAAAGACTCGAAAGAGTCGATTCCTTCGATTTTACTGCACAAAAAATGTGCTTCTAGGTAACTAGTATGAGTTTTCCAGTCTTTACATTGACTTTTTAACATAATATCTTTAATCTGACGGATTCTTAACAATGAATTCAATTTCAAACCTGAATTGGGCTCTCGCGTACTGATTTTACTTACAATGTCACCATGGTTCAAACTAATCTAAATAAACTGAAAGATCTTAAAACAGTGTATACAAATTTAATACCTTCAGGATAAAAAAAAAGTTTGATCTGTTCAAGGTAATTAAGCCGAAAAGGACGTTAACTTAAATCAGTTCAGACTATTTTACAATTTATTTTCCTCTATTCACTGGGACAGTATAAACCTAGACAACCCAGCCTCCACCAGCTTTATTTTGCCTGTCTCTTAGCGTTATTGGGTCCCGGAAGATGTTCGAGGCCTCAAAGTCCAATTTATGCAACATTTATTCGACCTATCATTGGTATCATATCGGCCGAATAATCGTCACTAACCAGTCGAGTGTTTACAAACTTTAGCATCTTTAAAGTGATAACGAGCAGCAGTCATCTATAAAAGGTCAGAGCCTACTAGGCTTAATCATACTGTACCTGACCATCTCGATGTCTGCTGCTGCTGTCTCCTCAAGGAAGGCTGCCCCAAGGACAAAGGTTGCCCCAAAGACCAAGGCTGCGGGAGCACCAAAGCCTGCTCCTGCTCATCCGACCTATGCTGTCATGGTCGCCGATGCGATTGAACAACTCAAGGAAAGATCTGGCTCATCCAAAACTGCAATACTGAAGTACATGACTCAGCACTACAATCTGGGCGATAATGTCACCATGGTAGGTCAACAGGGCGGCCACTTCAAGGGACAAGACTACCGTATTCCAGATAAACGTCCATGTGAAACGTGCGATCACGCGAGGGTTGGCTAAGGGAGAACTGCAACAAGTTACGGGAATGGGAGCCACGGGAAGCTTCAAGCTTGCTTCTAGTAACAAACAGAAAAATCCAGTCTCACCGAAAGAAAAAAAGGTCCGGGTTTCTTTTCCAGCAAAATTTTCTCATCCTATTCCTTACTCTTTAGCCAATCGCCAAGAAGATCACTGATCAACTCAAAGCTCCCAAAAAGATGGCTATAAAACCCGCGGTTGAGAAGAAGTTGAAGGTTGCTACCAGTGCTGCGGCTAAAACAAAAGCCAAAGAGCCCGTCCAGCCTAAACCCAAAGCGAAGAAGAGCGTGAAAGCTACAAAGAAGCCCGTTTCTTCCACCAAGGCTTAACTTTGATTCCATTTACTGACTTCTTCTACTGATTATTAGATGTATATACTTACACTATGAATGAAGGCAAAAAATGATGGTGATCATTCATGGAACATACGGAGCTACTGCTCTATGCCATCATGAGGAGTTTGTAACCTCGGGTTAGTTGATGACAATGCTTGGGCAGTGTTATGGTTAGGCCTCAAAATCAGTTTCGACGTGTGATCCCATGTGGTCTATTTGCCTGGACTCTGCCTTCAAGTAAGGCACACGTGCAGTTTTCGCAACCCCTAAAGAATTTGGGTTCACTTAAATAAACAGAAATCGCTAAAGAAATGCACAGTCTACAGCAATGTCATAGAGGGGATGTGTAGAATTTGACGCTCATATCAACCATTGCATCGCCTCTCTTTAGGCCTCGGACAAAATTCACGCGATTTAATCGTCGCGATTCCATCGCTACAAAACAACTATACGAGTTCACTGCAAGCCGATCAGCCTGCATTTCGATTGTGAAACTTTTTCAGCTTGAAATTTTTGAATGTAAAATGAAAGTGAATGAAAATTGCGGCGATTAAATCGCGACGATCAAATCGCGTGAACTCTGTAGGAGGCCTTAAAGGTAGCGTCTCGGCAGATTTTGCATTTCCATCTTTTTGCATGTTTTGGGCCTTCTCGACCCGTAGATCCCGAATCTGAGCTTTAAAAGGATTGAAAAGGCCTTTTTCGGGGCGTTTTTTTTCGATTTCCAAAAGGCAGCTCGGACGAGAATTTCAAAAAAGTCGGGAGGCCCTGGCACGAAGACCCTGCTGCCTGTAATTTTGGCTTTGTATAGCATGCACAATGCGGTTAAGCGGTTGGGGGGTCCCGCGCCGTCTAGCGGAGAATACTCCGAACAAGGTGTTAGGGGAGCGAAAGGAGGAAGGGGAGCGGCGCTTGGGCCGCCCCCCTGGCTTGCAGAGTTCACATTTTCGGCGCGGAGTTGCTGTTTTGGTTCAATTCGAGGGCCTCCTATCCATCTGTGTCAAAATCTGAGGTAGGTCAATCTGCCGAGCCGCTGCCTTTAAGGGACCAAAGCCTGACTAAAAAGGTGCCCAAAATATCTGATGTTACAGATGTTTCACTTTCAACGCTTAATGACGTGGTAATGTTAAAAGCGTGGATCTTCGTTGAACGCTGCCCTTAATTTGATTGTCTTACCAAAATTTGGTTCTTTCCGCTAAACAGCCCTTGAAAATTCAAGGAATTTGTGGCCACGCCATCCTCCAGTTCCAAGACTTGTCTGCCATTGACCCCTCGCTCAGGATGATAGTCGATGGCAGACATCTCGGACATCTCATCATCAGACATCTCCTCATTTCAGCTCGTCTCTCAATTATGCGAGAACCGATGTCGATAACGCAGAAGCAGGAGCGTCTTCTGGGAGCTGCAAAATTTCAATTTCAGTATTACAGAGTCACGATGTAAGGGAGATGTATGAGCAGATTCTGTAAAATAGTGTATCTGCTCTGAGGAAACGCAGATAGAAGTCTGAAATGATAAGTACTACTCCTAAAAAGCCTTTCATCAACCTCTTGCCCAATGAGCGCATGCGATGATTAGGGCACCATGGGCAAATCTCTGTATGCTTGGCACAGCAAAGTGGCATTAAAGCATTTGGCCCGAACCTCGATTAGCCTCTTGGCCAGCTCCTATTCCGGTACTGTGATGGTAGTCATGTCCTTATGAAGTCTGTTCCGTCCCTGCAAGTGTCGGATCTTAGCACCAATCTATCCAACAATCGATCGCCAGCTTCTCTGACAGCAGATCAACAAAATTTATTAATGAGATAAAACTCACAAAATCCTTGACGACTTCATTTTGAAAAACGCGGATGGCAGAGTTTGACCACAAACTCTTGGAAAACCATGGGGGTCACTATCAACAATTTGGCACAAGAGTGTCACATCCTCAAAGTTACCGTTCTCCCAATATGACACAAATGGCCGTGAGATTTCCTGAATTGGAAAAGTATACTGCCAAGGTGGACAATTAGTAATGGTTTCCAGACTGTGAAAAATTATATTTTTTATTCGTTTCAAATCACAGTTACAAAACAAAAAAACTACTTGTTATAATTAACTTAACACTGTCTCAACAACTCAAACTTTTCGAGCCCTCTTGCGCAAATGTTGATTGAGTGAGTAGTTACACTATTTTACAAAGTTACCGCATAAATGAAGTAACGATATAAACGTATGCACAAGAGCGAGAAATACGATTTCTGCTTTGGTCTCTCAATATGCTGCATTGAATAAGATTCTGATCTCAATGGATCAAAGCAATAATGATTTAGTTACAATGATGGTTTTTTACCTGCACAAAATGCTCCGAGATAGAAGCTGGTAGAAATCCTTTCGATTATTGGTAACATGTCTTCAAGTAACTAAGGATGTTCGCCCAGATTTGAAGAAATAGATATTTGACTTAGGATTGTCCCAACCTTGAATTTGGGTTGAGAGCAGCCGGCGGTGTTTAGACACCCTTTCTTCCAATCCTAAGAATCGCAAAAGCTCGCCATCTATCCAGAATGATTCCGCGATGACAGGCAGCAGAAACCAGTACTGCTAATATCTAGAATACAGCTTTTCATAGTATATTCTAATTCGTTATTAATGAGCAGAAGGGTAAATAAAAACGTCATTGCTCGGATATAGTATCGCTCGAGAATAGCAAGAGACAAGCTTTAGATAACCTTTTGTTTACTAAGAAGACGCAGCTCCACAGAAAAATACCAAACGCGGTGTTGAGATCTTGAGAAGCGAGTCTGAACTTGCGCGATGCAAAAAAAATTGAATAAATTTAAAGAGAAGTGTGAAATTTATTTCATCGCTCGATGCGCAAGCGATAAAGGTCTGCATGCTTTTCCAACCATGTTCAAGGCATCTCGTTCAGTTGGCTGGTAAGATTTGGTTTTGCTGGGTAGCTTGCGGGAGATGCAACTGACGAAATCGAGCACTGAGAAAGTGTACTAGGTCACTATGCAGAAAGGATAAACATTTTAGATTTAACATATAAAAATTAGGTTTTTAAATGCATTGAATGTGCAACCCACTCATAATTAAGTGGAAATGGATGAGGAGGAAATTGTGATGAGTATGAGTAGAGATCAAAAATTTTGAGTTTCGACCCAAATGCACAGAACATTTTTCCGTAGTGAAAATTCCACAAATCAGCTCATCAGAAATTTTTCATATGATTTAAATTTGATAATGGTGGCTATTTGATATTTGCGATATGAATTCTATTCTGTTGTTCAAAATACGTGAAAATAATGAAACTATTGACCAAGGAGTTTGAGTTCCGCTGGCGAGAATTTAGCAGGATCCTAGATGTCTAGTCCCCTTCAACCGTTGATCATTAAGTGCTACGAAGAGGATTGAAAGTGGTTTTCCTGAATAGCAATTTAACTTGTATCATGTGTTTTAAGAAAATCTGCAAATGCAGAATTTAAGATACCCTTATTGGGAGAGATGCAATACGACAGAAACAACGCCTGCTAACACCGGATTTACTACTCATAAAGGACTTTTCGAGGTGCTCGAACATCTTACGGACCTGTCCAAGTGTTAACTCTGTGCGAATGATCACCGCTTCGATCAAAAGGCTACAAAGCATTTGCGTAGCCGCTGGCACCGCTAGTCAGCACTAATGAATGAGCGCAAACCCGGTGTGGTCAAAATCGACAAAATTGCTCTTCTTTCAGAATGCGATTTATTCGAAGAGAAAACCCTAGGCAGTGACTCAACTCACCTGTTGCCCTACCCCCTCCCCCCTCCCTCCACCCAGTCCTCTTTTTAGAGAGTAAAAATGACAATAGGTCGAATTCGTCATGAGATACCACTAAAATTGACTCATCGTTAGTCCATAATAAAAAGAGATAGGTAGCAACTTTTGACAATTTTTCTATGATGGTAGTTTATGCTACTAGAGTAGCAGCAATATAGCCACTTGTAGTCGTTGGCCACTCATTTTGTTTACCAACGGACAGATTTCGAGCTAGCCGTAGGGCAGCAGTGGTGTAAAACACCTGCGATTGGGGATTCCCCTCAAGAATAGAGCTCAAGGTACTTTAACCAAAGCATAATTTAATCAAGGATGCAACTTGCTATGAATTACAAGACGTAACAAAAACATTTGTAGATTTTTGATCGAAGCAGTTTATGAGACAGAAGGATTCGATTAAACAGTGGAAGAAAACCAAAAATGAAAAAGTTGCACAAAGAGTAAGGAGCGCTGATCTCGCTGAACGTCCATAATTACAAAGAACTTGCGCGCTAAAGAAACGAGAAGGGAAAAAGTATAGCCAAGAACTTTACTAATGACAAACATTGACAGCAAATTCATGAGGAGCATGCAGCTTAGAAACTACTATTTGTACTTTGATGCTTTAAGTGAAAGAATGAATAGATGGAAGTAATAGACAGAACGTCACAGAACGAGCTATGTTTGATAACGTTCTGTAGTCAGTCTTAGTCCTTTATGGAAGGTTAGAGATATTACAATAGGCGTGGAACACCAAATTTTTTGCGAAGCATTTACAGATTTTGAAGCGAGCTGTCATATATAAAGCCGTATATTCAGAAATTTCACTACTCTCTTCAAACATATTCAACCAATTTACTTAGCTGCCTCTCGCATTGTTCTCCTCCTTACTTTTGTCTATGCTTCTCCGCTTCCCTTGTGCACGCAGGTGTAGGTTCAATGTATTGTCCTTGACAGATCAAACATAACCTCTTTTTGTGCCGTCATTGAGACCTTAGTTGACACCTTTTTTGTTTGTTTTGTCGCCTATCACGTTTCTGGTAAGGTTTCCGTATCGCTGGCTGTGCCCACTAGTTTTCCAATTTCCGGGTAGGGGACTATATGTCGCCGAAAAAGGGCGGTCCCCGCAGTCATTTGCGACAAATACGCACCCTTATACATGCGCGGACATGCGTTCCTGCAGGGAATCCGCGCGGGACTCTTTCAAATTCGGCGACATATAGTCCTTCACCCCCAATTTCCAGCTCCCTTGCTCACTTTGCGCTCGGAAGCATTTTTCATCCTGTTTACCCTCA